GAATTCTTCTCCAGAAATGATCTGTTAACAACTGGCAGTTGCTGATGAAGGCCATATGGTATCCTTTGTCAAAGGTCCCCTGGGGGCATCCCGCCTCTGTCCTGCCCCAGCCCCCGCCTGCCCCCTGCCCCAGCCAGAACAGCTCTGCCCTGAAATTCTGATCACACTTCATCTTAACTGAAGATCTCAAGAGTAAGGTTTGGCCACTGATTTAAGTGGTTCTTCCTTGGCTCAGAGTGGTAGGAAGACATCTGTATATTGACTTATTCCATCACCACTTCAAGAAGGTTCTAGAAACATGCAGTTGCTGTGAGAGCCGTCTAACTGACCTGGAACATCTGTTCTTATCCCGTCCTGCCTGTGTCCGCTCTCACAGTTGTGCTGACAGTGACTGGTGGCAGGTGCCTCCCTCACCCAATCTCATATGAACCATCTGGATGTGTGTAGAGAACCCCCAGCCAGATGGGTGGAGGTGACTCCATCACACGGCCTGAAGACGTGAATGACTACCTGCCACTGGCGTTCAGTCAGGGTCACGGCCTCGTGACATATCTCAAGATGCGTCCTCCCAGGCTGGCCAGGCCTCCCCCCCATGCTGGAGGAGAGTGGGAGAAGAAAGGTCCTCTCACCTGAGGACTGAGGGCCGTGTGCTCATAACAGCAGAGGCCCCCGGGGGGCACGCTGCCCAGGACCTAGGGGAGGGTCAGGTGTCGTCCATTTGATCCGAGGAACAACCCTAGGGCAATGCCATCTTTCATTGCAGTTTTACAAATAAGGAAACACGGGAGGGGGCTGCTGGCCCTCGAGGCCTCTGTTCATCAGCCCCGGCTGCCGAGATGGGCAGCTCACCAAGCTGGAGGCTGGAACTCGAGGTCAGGAGCCAGTGTGGTCAGGTCCTGGAGGGGCCCTCGCTCTGGCTCAAGGAGGACAACCTTCCTGCTGCGTCCTCAATGAGATGTCTCTGTTTCCTCTCGGAGGCCACAGTCCTAACCAGATTAGCACCCGATGACCACATCCAGCCAGAATGACCTCTCAGAGGCCCCCTCTGCAGACACAGTCACCTGGGAATTAAGACTTTGATATGTGAATGTGGGGGACACACTTTGGTCAACAGCTGCCTCACAGCTGGCGAGAGGACGGGGAGGTCAGACGCTTGTCCCTTCCCCAGGCTTGCCCTCCCCCCCGGCCACCAGGGCCCCCTGCACATGGTGCCCCCGCGCTTTGGGCTTCCTCTTTCCTTTCTCCTTGGCTGTGATTGTCTTAAGCACAGGAGAGCAAAACAGCTCCGCTCTGGACAGGGGAAGTACAGCCCCCGACAGCTCAGCCTGGGCTACCGAGGCTTGGGAGCACCAACCACTCACTCTTCAGAGCAAAACTGACATGGAAACTAGTTGATGCTGGGCCTTCGCTTGTGCCAGCTCCGGAGCCTGTCAGCCGGAAAGAAGGACAGGAGGCCGGCCTCGGGGCGCGGTAATTCACCCTCAGGCAACGCGCTCAGGAGCTGACGGGTAATTAACATAAAGCACTGGTGTCCCCATGAACCCAGAGAGCAATTCCCACCACGTCCCCTCAGCAGGGGCGAGAGAGGCGGCAACAGAAGCCTGCAGCGGGGTCTGTGCAGGCAGGAGGCGGGGTGGGCACAGGCAGGAGGTGAGGAGGCGCAGGGTGAGGAGGCGCAGGGTGAAGCGTCCCAGGTTCGAGTCCCATGTCCTCCCCTGTGAGTGCTGTGGCTCATGGGCATCTGCAACCGGGATTGGTCAGGGCAGGATCACAGGAAGTGCCGGAGGCCACTGGGAGCACTGAGGGAGCCCAGACCACATCCAGGTTCCAGCAAAGGCTGGGGTCTCTTCCCCCCGAGATGAAGACAGCAGGGCAGGTGGGGACCTGAGCCTGGCAGCACACCAGCCAACGCAGGCAGTGACAGCTGCCGAGAGCCCGCTGCGCAGCTGGGAAACGGGCAGGGCACGGCAGGCGGAGCGGGGACCCCGCAAGGAGCCGGCACAGGCTCTGCTTGTTCTCTGCCTTCCCTCTGGGGACCCCCTTCCCTCACCGTCTGCTCACACACTCGGGGCCACCCTCCCGCCCTCCTTCACAGGAATGGGCCCTGAGCACCCAGGCCAGTCACGGCCTCGGGCTCTGCAGGGGCTGCACAGCCACGACTGGGGCCAGCGTCAGCCGTGGCTCTGAACACCAAGCTAACAAATGCAGGGGACAGCAGGAAGGCCAGGTCAGCGCGAGTCCAGGCTTAGTTATGGGAGCCAAGAAAGTCCTGTGAGCTTCGGTAAGGTAAGCTGAGTTCCTGTCCCTACAATCAAATCAATCCTGGCCCCACGGCTCATGAACTCAGTGCTGACCAGCGGAACAGGACTCTCTTCCTGTTAGATGGGGACTTGATAGGTCATCGTCGGCCTGCCTGGGTGCCTACCATGAGCTGTATGTTGACTTACTATCTATCCCGTCATCCATCTGCCTGATCTATCAGCTGTCCGCCTATCTCCCATCTGTCTACCATCTCTATCATATATCTATCTGTCACCCAGCACACACACACACACACACACACATATACACACACATACACAAACACACACATACATACACATACACACATACACACATACACACAAACACACGTACACACATACATACACATACACACATACACACACATACACAAACACACACATACACAAACATACACACACATACAAACATACACACACATACACACATACACACAAACACACGTACACACATACATACACATACACACATACACACACATACACAAACACACACATACACACATACACACACATACACACATACACACAAACACACGTACACACATACACACATACATACACACATACATACACATACACACATACACACACATGCACACATACACACAAACACACACGTACACACATACACATACACACATACACACACATACACACATAAACACACACACACACACACATACACATTTATGGCCTCTTTCAGTGGATAACATTTTCATTTACAAAACCTACACTTTCACAGCTTTTCTTTCGGTAATTCTCAAAACAGTCCTTGCGGTGAACAGAGTCTCAGTGTGTCCTTTAGCAAGGGAAGACGCTGAGTCCCAGAGTTCGGAGGTGACTCCCAAGTCAACCATGGATTCAGTCCTTCCTTCTAATGGTGGGAGCTCAGTGCCACCAGAGACCAACATTTACAGAAATTTCTTATCTGTCCAGCACGGTCTTGTTGGAAAGCCCTGTGTCGGTGTGTAGTATCCATGAACTCTCCTTTAGCACACGTCCTACAAGCTCGAGTGTGCATCCCAGTCCCTGGGACCCTGAGCCGTCTCTCCTAAAGGCTGGGCTCCAGACAGTCATCTAAGCAGAGCCTACACTGGCAGAAACACCAGAAGCTGCCTTAGTTACCCATGGGAGAGGACAGAGGTCAAACGGCTCATCATTCTTCTCTACAGTGGAATATTACACAGCCTTTAAAAACACACACTGTAAAAAGTGTCAGTGATAAGCTAGTGCTTCTGCCAGACCATCAATTTGAAAGAGTTAAATACAAAATTACTATTCATGTTTCTCATACCTACAGCTTACACAGACAGCCACCATTGATATGAAAACTACGAGAAAAGGAATAAGAAAAGAATATCAAGCCCCAAATGAATCTGCTGAAAGGCAGGTTGGGGGTTGTAGCAACGACCAGGGCCAGGGATGAGCACTTCTCTAAGAATGATCTGGAAACAACTGGCAGTCGCTGAAGAAGGCCATATGGTGGGATTCTGGGCAGCTGTTACTTTCTCATACTTTTCTTTTACTTTTCTTATACTTTCTTATGTGTTTAATCTTCTGTATTTTGCAACAAATGTATACTGCTTTTCTGATAAGAAATGTGTTTTTAAGAGATTCTCTTGTTCAGCAATCAAAGTCATTTCCCCCAGTGCCTAGAGCCAGGACGACCCTTCGGTTATGATGTGGACTCCTCTGGGCCACAGCTAGGCTGGGTTTTCCCCAAGGAGATGCCCGAGTCTGTGCATGTACCATGCCTGCCTCCGGGTCCTCAGACACAGCAACCTGAGGTCCTCCTTCTTCTCCTACTTCCCACGGCTCAAAGGGCTTCTAGGAACAGACAGCAATCAACATCATAGATGTCCCCATCGGGGTCACCTTGTTGCCCACAAGGTCAGTGCAGTGAAGAGCACTGGTTTCCTGGAGTAACCATCTTGGCTCCTCCACCAAACCCCGCTCAGGAAGCCTTTGCCAATGCCCCCCACAGGGACTCCTGCAGCCAGAGCACCCGGAAACAGCTGCTTCCAGGGCGAGCATATCTTAGAACCATCAGCCATCCAATGAGGTGGGTCAACACGGAGCAAGGCAGAAACCTCGGCTGTGCCCAGCCTCTGGGTCGCAGAGGGCCTGGGGCTTCCTAACTGCAACCCAGGAGTTGGATGGGGCCCAGGAGGAGACCAGGACGTGACTGTCTCAGAAGGAGAGGCCACATGCAAAGGCCCAGAGGCAGGGACCCACCTGCAGGGAGGGGTTTCTAGGATGCAAATTTAAAGTGGAGATAATGACCAGGGACAAGATAGAGAGTTCTGGAAAGTGAACCATGGCTGGCCTCATGGGCAGATTCAGGACCTGGAGCTCAGACATCCATGCCGGGCGGCCACGATGCACGGAGTGGGACGGGGGCTCAGTGGTCCTTCCTGCCCTCAGTGCTATGGTGGCTTTCTAACAAGTTGGACTCCACTGAGAAGTCTCCCCTTGACGTTCCCTTATGACCTGTCACACGTTTCCTCAGACAAACCTCTGCTCCATCTGCGTTCAGCTCTCATGCATCAGGAAAGAGCATGACTGACCAAGCGAATCCCAAGATCTCATCAGAAAGGGAGACCACAGACCCCTGAGAACGCCTGCGCCAGGTCATCGCTCTCCTTTCTCTGCAGCTGGGGAGGAGGTGCCCGGGGCGCGGCGGGCGCCACTCACCACAGGTTGACCAGGAACGGGTGCTCCAGCCCCTGCATGACCTGCAGCTCGCGGAAGACGTTGCGCACCTCGTCCCTCTCGATGCACTTCTGCTTGTTCATGTACTTCATGGCGTACATCTTCTTCGTGTCTCGCTTCTGCACGATGCACACCTGGGCAACGGGCAAAGGAGAGCGTTCAGGCCCACGTTTAAGGAAAACCGGGAGCCGCTGCGTTTCCACCCTGGGGTCAAGTCCGCTGGCAGAGCAGCTCCATAAACTGCCCCCCATCAGTCCCCGAGGGCAGAGTTGGAACCCTAGGTTCCTGGCCCTGTCTAGGTGCTGGGGAGGCAGCCTTGGGGTCAAGAGACAGAGGGAGCAGCTCACAGCCCTGGAGGAGACCAGAGGGAGGGCCAGTGACCGCAGCCCTATCTGTGCCCAGCTGACTCCCCACATGGTGCCCACCTCCCGACTTCCACACCCCAGCCCTGCACTTCTTCGCCCATGGACTGTCTTTTGTGGGCAGAGCTCCCATTTGCAGCCCATGAGACAGACCAGCAAAGCCAGGGAATTGGGGTATTCAGTCCGTGGCTGATGGGATGGGAGTCCCTGCACCCCAGCTCCCCTGCAGGGTGGGTGGGACAAGTCTGAGCTGCTGTTGGCACTGTCCCGGGTCTGGGACAGACTCCTCTCACAGCCCCCTCTCTCTGCCCTCCCTGCTCCCTGGGATCCCTTTGCCTCTCCAGGGCCCTACACTCAGATCCTTCCTTGGGCCGCCTCTTGAAACCCAGCCACGGCCCCAGGCTCTGAGCGAGGACGACACCCACGTGGTGCACCACCACTGCAGGCCGGGTGCTGTCACCTCCGTTCCCCCGTCAGCCCCCCCGAGAACCACAGGGATAAAGCCTCCCTCCCCCGTCCACAGGAGGAGGCACCGCCCACGAGCAGGCGTCGACCCACCAGGCCCAACAACCCACTGCACACTGTGCCCGGCTCAGACCCATGGCCTCTGACTTTGAGTGACTCCCTAAACCAAGGGCAGAGGTGGCTTCCCCAGGGAATCAGGGCAGAGGACGAATGTGGAAGAAGGGAAGAGGGTGGGGGCCAGGGGAGTCCTCTAGACAAAGGGATGGTGTCAAGGAGGGCAGGAGCCCAGGGAGACGCCGGGAGCAGTATGGTTTGCCACACGCGCAGGGCTGGCGTGCATGGGCAAGAGTGACCAAGACAGCGGGGTCAGATGTCCCCAGAAGCCGGGGGAAGCAGCTGCTGTCTTCCCCAGCGGCTCTAATGTACCCACAAGCCAGGCAGCCTGAATGGCAGGAACGTACTGTCTTTCCCTTAGGAGTCCAGAAGCCCAGGTTCAAGGTGTGGGCGGCCCCGTGCTCACGGGGAGGATTCCCTGGCCTCACCTAGCACTCGCCACTATCCCTGGCTCTCTCTGGTTTGCAGCTGGAGCGCTTCAAGCTCTGCCTCCCTCTTTGCTGGGCCTCCTCCCATGTGCGTCTGCCTCTGTTCCCCAACATCGTGTAAGGACACCAGCAATTACCTCTTGTAAGGACATAAGCCATTACATCTATACCTTACCCTTCTCTTTCCTTGACCTCAGCCACCTTCAGTCAACTGTAGTCTGAAAATATCAAATGGAAAGTTCCAGGGATAAATTACTCATAAAACCTAAGTTGCATTCTAAGTAGTGTGATGAAATTTCACCCCAGTGCCTTGGTGGCTTTCTAACAAGTTGGACTCCACTGAGAAGTCCCTCCTTGACGTTCTGTCATAACATGCCACGCCTTTCCTCATATAGACAAACCTCTTCTCCATCTCCCAGGACGTATCATCCCTTTGACCAGTGTATCCATGCTGTATATGCTCTTTCCCATAGTCACTTAGTATCCCTCTTGGTGATCGATTGATGGGTGCACTACTGCAGCGCTTGTGTCCGGGTGACCCTTACATGGCAGCCTATAGCTACCTCACGGTGCCTACACCTCGATCCATCCCATCATGCAGGCATTGAACAATCAGGTCATCACAGGAAGGATGTGACAGCAAAATAACGTACTTAGGGAGAAAAGTTTATAAATTAAACTGTACCATAAGTCTGTGTGTGTAAAAATAAATAATATACATAGGATTTGTTCCTTCTCAGAAGCACCGATACGCAGGATCATAGACACGCAGGATCCCTGGGCTTCCAAATAAGGCCACAGTCCAAGGTTCCAGGAGGACATGACTGGGACACTATTCCACCCAGGGCAGTTCCACTGCTGTCTCCATGGACAAAGGAAAGGGAGGCACAAAGGCTTCCAGACCTTCCTCCAGGTTCCAGACTCAAGCCCAGCTGTCCGGCTCCCCAGTGGCCCTCGGTCCACCACCCCCTGGAGAACACGGCAGGTGGAGAGACACTAGCAATAAGACAGTGGGCACCTGGCTAGGAACCCGGGCTTCCTCCAGGCACTGGGTTGCTCTTCTGCTGGGAAGTGAGCCCCTCCCAGCTCAGATGTGCGTAGTTTACTCGTGGAAGAGGAGGACGGCTGGGAAAGGCCCCGAGTGCAGCTCCAGCTCTGGTCTCTGAGCCTCAGCCTCAGCCTGGGGGGAGCTGAGGGAGCAAAACCCACGCTGCCCACTGGGCAAAACTGGAGGAGGCCAAGGAGCTGGGGGCTGGCAGTACAAGGGGGACGAGGGACGTCAACTGCAGCTCGCCGCGTTCACCCGTAGACGTCACGGGACCTCCAGGCAGTCAAACAAGTGGCGTGAGGCTGAACGTCCTGGGGCTCCCATCTCTAGAGAACTTGAAAATACAAAATGCAGGGAGAAGAAGGATCCCGGGAATGGAGCGGAAGTCCAGATTCCAGCCCGCGTCTGAAGGCAGAGGTGGTGGAACTGCCAAACTGGACTTCTCACCCCTGCACCCCTGTTCTCCCTGGCCATCTCAGAAGGGGAGCTCAGCTGTTGCTCAGAGGCTCGCCAAGCTGTGGAGGGAGGCTGCATTCAGAGTCACTGGTGTCCAGGGGACACTGGAGATACTCAGTGGTCACCAAGGCTCTCAGGGGACACTGGAGATACTCAGTGGTCATCAAGGCCCCCAGGGAGGGCGGTGGGGCCCTCACCTCAGCTCAGCGTTGCTTAAGAACCGGAGGAGACTCTTCAAAAGTAGGTTGGAAAGCCATCTTTGGACCAAGAGCCCACGGTGAGGGCAGGGCTGGAAGGTGGACTTTGCCACCCCAGGGGGATCAAGGCTGCTGGCGGGGGGTTGGGAGGGAAGGCGGAAGTTTGGATCTGCAGGTCCAGGAAGAGGAGTCCACCGAGGGTCTTGGCCTCTGAGCACGGGGTGGGGGTGGCTGGGACCTGTCAATCGTAGGCCTGGACCCCTCCTGGGTAAGCTGAGGGCTTGGATCTGCCCCTGAGGGCATCTTGGAAAGCCGTTTCTCAGGAGCGCAGCTAAGAAGGCTGGCCTTGGGGAGCTGGCCGGCTCCTGCTCCTCTGGCCGACCCTCTGTGGGGCTGTTCACAAATCCTGTCTTGCTTCCTCCTGGTCTGGCCAGGCTGGGCAATGGGCCCAAAGCCTAGTGCCTGGGAGACAAGTGGTGTCCAGAAGACAGAGGCATGGAGAAGGGTCGGGTTCTGGGCCCTCGGACCAGGGTGCAGATTCCATCTCTACTGTGTGACACCAGGCAAGTCACCCACCCTCTCTGAGCATCAGTCGGCTCATCAGAGCTTCTGTGGGACGCTCTTGTTCACGTGAGAACACAGCAGGAAGCCAGCAGTCTGGACCTGGAGGGGCCTCGCGGAACCCAACCAGTGCCAGCCTGCTCCCCACTGTCCACACTCCAGACTGGGAACTAAACTTTGTCATTATGTCACCGGTCTGTCCTGGGACCGCCAGCACAGACTCGGGGAGCCCTGGACCTAGACGGAGTCTTCTCCGACGAAATGACGGGTCTAACGAGGAGGTCGCCCTGGGTTAGGCTGGGCCACACCAGGTGACTCCTAGAAGAGCAGAGACGCAGGGAGGTGGCTACGGCTGCAGCCACGTGTCCCCAGGGCAGGTCAACACCTGGGGGCCACGGGAAGGCAGGGTAGAGCAGGGCACAGGCTCCTCCGGCCACACCTCCACGGTGGACTCTGGCCTCCAGGACTGTGAGGGACAGAGCTGGGTTACGTGACAGTCGGCACAGCCGCGCCTCTCTCTCCCCACCGCAGAGGGGGTCTGCAGGACGACCTCCCAGGCCTCTAGGGGACACAGTGCATGGGTGGGGCCAAGTGTGTGACCCATGCGGGGAGCAGCCAGGGGCACGGTGGAGGGGTGGCAGATAGATATCGGGACCCCACCTGCAGCCCTGACCTCACGTGCTCCCAGCCCCGGTCCCTGGTGACTGTCCACCCAGGGCATCTGCTGATGCAGGAGCTGCTCTTGGCCTTGGAGCTTCGGCCAGGTGACGGAGAGGGCAGCTGGCTCTGCCCAGGTCCTGGGGACGTTGATGTCAAAGCCGAAGACCAGGTCCCAAGTGGCCGCAGGGCTGCCCCTCCAAAGGAAATGGCAGTTAATGAGGCGAGAACAAGGAGTTTGGCCAAAGCCATCTTGCTGCCAAAAGGCGAGCACCCAATTAACATTCCCATTAGCCTAATCCAATTAGGCCCGACGCTATCATTGCTAATTACAGGGTCGGGACAAATAAATAAACGTTAGCTAATGTGGTCTCCACTGGCACTGAGAAAAGCATGTGTCAAACACACTGAGCATCAGAAATTTGGGGATGGGCCCCAGTGGGTGGAGAGTGGGTGGTGGAGGTCAGGAGCCCACAGGGGCCAGCACCCGGGGCTGGGCATCCCGACTTGGGATTCAGCATTCAGCGTGCTGACGGGGCAACTCCACGGCCCGCCCGAGACCTGAGTGTCCTGGAATCGCGTCCTCAGCACGCCCCGGGGAGGCGGCACAGCCGGCCTGGAGGACTGCCTTGAGGGGATCTCCCAGAAACTCCTTGACCGGCTTCTGCTCAGGACTCTAACCCCAGTTGGCTCCAGGGGACAGACGATTACCCAGCGCTGGCCTCGGTCCTGAGGTCATCTAAGCACTGTGGCAGATCAGTGCTGGGGGCACATGGATGGAGGATCTGGGGGCTGCTCTGGTCGGGTTGTCATGGGCTGGCCTCGGGAGGGGGGACGTGTGGGGAG